CTAAAAGGATGACCAACTCATGTAGATTCATAACCTTTAGTCACATAGCTTCTCCTGCGATGTTTTTGATAAAACAATCAGTCTACATATAAACTCTCTAAGTTATAGGGAAAGAATAATCAGCTGGAGTTTATTATTCTCAGTAGCTTATACATGGTTGTGGTCCAAAAAGCAAACAATTGGGGCTGCTCTGGTGATGCAAAGAATTAAGTCCCAGCACTATAAAGCCCTCTGCGGCCACTGGAGCACGTTTTATCCTAAGCCAGGGAGGTGACCCACATGGCACAGCAGATCTTTCCTGTCTCACTCACTGCTCAACTCAGCACTGTATTTCAGTGAATCTGCCTGTTCTGTTCCCTACTCTGTCTCTGGTGAATCCTCTCACTGCACCTGCACCTCTGGCATACACCACAGCTCTTATGTGCATAAATAAATGAATATTAAAAAAAATCAAACTATGATACAAGGAAGACCCTGAGGAGTCCCTCCTGCCCCCTGGGGAACACCTACAGGCTATACCATGTGCACAAACCCTGAACTCATTATCTGCACCCAGCAATCCAGGGGGAATGATCACAAGGGCCATGGAAGGAACTCTGGCTCAAAGTTTATGGAAACAACATCATAAATATAAAAATTAGAAGTCCAGGCACACACTGTGAGTCTAATATGAGACTGTTTTCGATTCAATTATAAAAATATACTTATTAGATCATCTTGCTTTTGCTCATTAAAAGAGATATGTTCTTAGAGCAACTTGAAGTCCATAGATTTTCCCTCTTTAATCATGTTTTCATAGGCCATTTTACATTTCACATTTTATAGAAAATTATTTAAATGGGCCTGGCATTACTTTTTGAAAAGTATCTACTCCCACTCATCCTTCAAGTTTCTTACATCACTAAAAACAAGGGTAAAGGAATCAGGTAGGAGGTGAGGTAGGCCTGGGAGTTCATCAATTGTAATGCCATTTATTTTCATGGTTTATGGCACAAAAGGGATATGACATGCCTGAGTAGTTCATATCAGCTAGTGGTCAGTATGCTAGATTTATAGTCTTCCATGTTTAAATGTAATAGAAATATTTTTCAAGTGGAAAAGACTGGAAATGTAATAGAAATTTTTTCAAGAAGGAAAAGACTGAAATGAACCTTTAAGACTGTCCTTCTTAAGAAAACAACAAATTCAAATGACTGTGCCTTTCTTAAAATATTATTAAAAATACATACATACACATTATGTTTTGTTTATATTCCACAGCATCTTGTTTTCATGGATCTCTAAACTATTAGCAGCAAGGTGGGCCTCCCTGGTGGTGCAGGGATTAAAGACAAAACACTATCAAGCTATCATCAGCCACTGCAGTATGAGTTTGATCCCTGGCCAGGGAGATGACCCACGTGGCACAGGAAACCTCTCCTCTTTCACCTGCTATTCCCCTCAGCAGTGTATTTTATATTTTATTAGATCTGCCTGTTCTGCTTGCCACTCTGTCTCTGATGAACCTTCTCATCCCTGTACATCCCAGTTTTTGCATGCATAAGTAAATAAATCTTTAGAGAAACAAAACAAAAACTGTTAGTTGGAAGAGGCCTTTAAGATCCTGTCAGATAACCTCTGAAGGAACAGGAGACAGAGGAAGGGGTTTAGTGTCCCTCATGATGAGAATTTCCACAGCTGTTACTCACTGTGGTTTGAAGCACAAAACAGATCTCAGAAAATTAATGGTAATAGTGCACACATTTAAACAGGACTTTTGACCTATCCTGAAATAGACCAAAGCAAAATGTGTCCACCTGACTCACAGGAGTCTTTCATCTGCACACGAGGAGACTGGCACGGTCAAATTACTTAGACAAATGAGCCTGTAGCTGAGTTAACTTGATAGTTTGGTTTGGTTAAACAGGATGGAAATAACAACACTGATACTATAGCAAACTCATCCTCTACTTCCTGTTTACTTTGCCAAATTACATCAGCTTTGTGATTTACAACACTTCCTACACTTTCTAATCTACCTCAGAACTACACAAGGAGTCTTTTATAGCAAAACAGGTGGTCATATGGAAAAAGAAACATCTTTATTTTACAAGCTCAGTAGACACAAATCTGAAGCACATCTGCTCTGCTTATTTCTATCTCCTGAAAGAAAAAAAAAAAAAAGAAAAAAAAAGACTTAAAAACAAACGTGAGGCCTTAGAGTTGGAGGGTCCCTCCCTCAGGATTTGAAAATCGGTATTGAGCAAAAGGAAGGCACAGATTTCTTTACTCACAAATGCCTAAAACTAGGTCCATTTGTGTTTAAACACTCTCTCCTTGGAAATGAAGCCTGTGCTTCTCCTGGGAAGTGGTATCCAAGGTCTGAGAAGACTTGGGGGACAGTATGTCCAGGTGCAGTGATTCCTCAACTTTTAGCTTGTTAAATCATTGCCCACAGGATGGTAAATAAGGTCAGACAGACAAAAACAAAGCATCTGTCTCTGTATTTACATAGACAATCAGTGTACCCCCACACTTTCAAACTCCCCCCATTTCATTACTATCCTGAGAGAAACAGTTTAACACTGACTATCATCTCCCAGCTAGTCCAATTCTCTTGCCACAAAGGTAAGGACATGTAGGCCAAAAAAAGCCCCCTTGTCCCATCTGATGAAACTATATCATTTATGGCCTCTTTTGGTGGTGCAGAGGGTTGGAGCGCTGTACTGGAAAGCTAATCCAAGCCACAACTGCTTCAGTGTGAGTTCTATCCCCACCCCAAAGGTGATCTACATGGTGCAGCAGACCTCTCCTGTCTCACCAGCTGCTCCCCTGAGCAGTGTACTTTGTTGATCTGCATGTCCTGCTCCCCCACTCTATTTCTGGTGAGCCCTCTCACTGCCCCGGCACTTCTGGCCTGTACCCCAGTTTCTGTATGCATAAATAACGAATCTTAAAAAAAAAAACAAAAAACTGTATCACCTTGCCACGTATTTATTTTTAGACAAAGTGAGTCACTGAGAGATGTCTATTTCCCAGAGTGCTTTCCACATCAGGACCCTCTCCTGGTTTCAAATGCAATGAGAAAAAACAACAAGGTCAAGGGCATTTGTGTGCACACAGGAATATAATGGCCAACCACAAGGGTGTGAAAGTCCAACAGGGCCCTCAGAGGAAAACAGTGGTCAGCTCTCATTTGTCCTTCATTAGACCTCAGATTAAGTGGTTTCTGCTTTACTGAGGGGGAGGGAAGACTGCTCTAACAGGCCCTGGGAGAGGCCACATGTCATAGCCCCATACCTGTGAGCCCCTCCTGATCACTAGTTGTATTGGGGTCCTCCCAGGGCTGCTCTCCTTGCCATAGTTCTAGGGCTGTGGAGGCTCTTCACAGTTTAATATTTTCAACACAAGAAAAGATGTGATGAGATACCCTCAGGAGAAGCAGACTCTTCACACGCTTTCTGCCTTGCACAATTTTCTTCCCTTGGGAATTCAAGGGATGATCTTTCCCACTTAAAAGGTCACACTGAATATAGTTTTGTGTGTCTGTTCATTTGTAAGTGTAAGCATCTGCTGTTTAACATGGAAGGACATTTACTTAACACAATTTATATTCTCATGAGGCAAACCCTATGTGTGCATGACTCTGGCACATCCCAAATGTCCAATGAGTGTCTCCCCATGTAATTCAGTACACCAAATAGTGTGACAGCAAAATAATTTCCTCAGAGAGAACGTTTTATATATATAGACCTATAGTCATAAAGTAAAAAGGCTGAAGCCAATTGTTACAGTTGATGCCCCCTGGAGGTGAGGATGAACAGCCCCAGGTGAAATACAGACAAAGACTTGGTGGGGGCGGAGGCTCTGATAGGAAATGTAAGGGACTGAAGAAACAGAACCCAGGATTTCAGTGTTTTGGGGAATTCTGCATTTTCTAGGATCTTTAGTCATTCCAGGATCAGCCATTCCTGCCCCCTCCATGCCGGTCTTTCAGAAGGCTGTGCTGAGCCTCTGAAGGATGTGGAGAAGTTTCCAGCTCAACCTCAGAGGGAAAAAGCTAAGAGGCTTTGCAAGTACCTAATCGATTGAAACTGTTCGAGCATTGCTGCTGTTATAGCTTTGAAGGGAAAGCCAAGAATTGGAGCTGGATGCCTGGCTGAGCTGTATGAATATAGGCCATTAGGCTGCTCCAGTGTTGTCTGGTACCATGCTGGCATGTCTTGGCAGCTCTGTTAAGCATCTCCAGTTGTGTCTTCTCTCACAGTGAGTTGGATCCTGGTCTACTGACTGGCTGCCACACACTCTAGGCCCTTAGTTGCAGGAAGACACCATCTTAGACCTTCTGCTTGGAATAGAGGTTCCAGTTCTTCAGTGGCGGGAAGACATCATCTTAGGTACCTTTTGTTTAGGATGTCAAAACAGTGGATACAACTTGGGTTGACATAACCAGCCACTGTGGTCTAAATGACTCTTATTTCCCCTGTTAAAAAAAAAATCTTACATTGTTTTCCCTGATTCTGAGTGGTCTTGAATTTGTGCACATGGATGAAGATCTCAAACACTGCTGGACACGGCTCTTGGAAATTTTAGTGCCCCTTATTGCCCTTTATCCATAAGCCTATACTAACATGGAAAGAACACATCATCATAGTCAATAAGAGATACAGGTTATAATCTGTGCTCTTGGAAAAGTAAAAAAAGAAGAAAAAATCTGTGCCTCCATTTTCATATTTGACAAAGCGGGAAGCTGGCACAGGTGGCATCAAAAGACTGAACACTCTCATTCTAGCGTGTCTGAATTCTAAGGCCAGGAACTTGGCAGGCTGCTGGTTCAGCTGCTCCCTGAATGTCTGTGGCTTCACTGTTCATCAAGACCATTTGCTTTGTCCAGCAGAAGAGCCAGGTATGCTGTATGGTTGATGAATGGGCAGGAGAATGAACTTTCCCCAAAAGTTTGTCTCTTTTTCACTAGACTCATTGACAGGACTGTTTTAGGAACTATCTTCAGAGGTAACAGGAGGTCAGTCAGAATAAGGTTCTCTCAGAGTGATGAGAAGGATTCTTTGCAGCAAAAGTGACTGCAATAAATGTTAAAGTATGAAAGCGCCAAGTCCAGTAACGATCGAGACCCAAGTTTGATGTAAAAGCAAAGTGAACCTTTATTAGAAAGCTTGAGCTAGGGTCCGACCCAGAGTAATCCGATGCTGCGGATATTCCTTGAGAGTATCCAGTTGTGTCTTCTCTCACAGTGAGTCGGATCCCGGTCTACTACTGACTGGCTGCCACACGCTCTAGGCTCTTAGTTGCAGGAAGACACCATCTTAGACCTTCTGCTTGGAATAGAGGTTCCAGTTCTTCAGTGGCGGGAAGACATCATCTTAGGTACCTTTTGCTTAGGACGTCAAAACACTGGATACAACTTGGGTTGACATAACCAGCCACTTAAAGTCATGGGTTTATAAAGGCATTGTGGGAGGGGCTGGGCAGTCACAAGTCCCTGCTTGCTAGATGCCTGGTACAGATAACAGTTAGTTCCTGGAACATTTACTCCAGGGGGGATAGAAACTTATCTTTGAGCAATAGTTTTAGCAACAGTTTTACTGGCCTTCTGCCCTTCGCATTGCTTATCTTTGAGTTAACAGTTTTACTGGCCTTCCGTACATCTTCTACGTAGAGACATGGCATCACTGTGTTTGACAGTCATCAAAGAGTAGCTCTTTTTTTCCCCCAAGAAATCCTAGCATTTTGAAATTATAGAATTTTTGTGACACTATCTTCAAACAAAACTTGTCACACATAATAAATGTGTAACAATCCATGCTTACTGCCAAGCTCAATTTTGAGGAGTAAAGCAGAAAACAATGAAACCACTTCAGCTTTCCAAGCAATAGAAATATGTATTACAGAAGCCATGGATTTTTTTCCTGAAGGAAAGTCTCCAAATCATATTAGAGCCTCTTTTCACAAATTTCCAATGAGCATTGCTATCTACTTAAAATAGCAAAGGCAAGATTTATATTAGTAACAACTTAGTTGTTGAATTAACATCTATCTAATTCCCCTCAAGTCTGAAGATCTACAAGAGAAATTCATTTACTTTTTGTTCCTCAAACATAGAATTTTTATTTTTATGCTTCTCAAACAGAGCAGTGAAGGGAAATGCGAGATTTAAAATGTAGAGAAGTATATAGGAAGAGGGAATAAATGCATGAATTAAGTATATGACTGAAAGATAACTATTTGATTAAGCTGAGACAGAAATTCTAGCATGAGAAACTTGAAAGAAACAAACTCTATCCAAATGAACAAAAAAGTACAACAGTGTTTCTATGTATAGGTATCCACTCTATAGATTATTTTTAAAATAGTAAAAATAAATTTACATATAATCCAGCAAATCTAATACTAAGTATCTATCTGAAGCTTGACCAATAGCTAATTTATAGGGACACTGTTATTGCAGCACTATTACAGTAGCCAAATTATGAAGACAATTTAAATGCTCAACAACAGAGAGTAGATTAAGAAGATGTGGTATATGTATAATACATATGCAATGGAATATTATCTAGCTATCAAAAATGAAATCCTATCACCTCTGACAACATGAATGGAACTGGAGGGGATTATCCTAAGTAAAACAAACCAGAAAGAGAAAGACAAATATCAGATAGAGTAACCAAGACAGAGGAAGATAGGGAAACAAAACAAATGGTCAGACAAAAGCAAAATTAAAGCCTATGTATCTGACTGTCAAATTGAGGCTACTAGAAGGGGAGTAGAAGCATTTGGGGGGCAAAGTGGAGAGGAGTCCAATTTGAATATACTGGAGACCAAGGGTGACTGGTGGGTGTGGTGTAGTAACATATCTCTGAAGAGATGTGAACATATACTGAGTCATATACAGTGCTGGAAACCAAGGTTACCTCAGTAAAACATTTTAAATGCTATAATTATGCAAAATACATTAAATAACACTTAAATAAAAATAACATGAGTTGTATGTTAGGCTGAGGACCCTTTGTTGTACCGTGTTACCAAGGGCATGACACAATTTCTGATATAGGAAAAAAGATTTTAAGAAACACAGTTGTGTAGTTTGCTTCGTACTTGTTTCTACAAATTAGAGAATGATTAATCGTTCACAGGCACTGCAGCATGTGGAGAAGACAAAGTGTTCATGGTGAAAATATTTCCAGACTGGGAGACCAGGACCAAGGTCTCAGTTCTCTCTTTACTAATGACTATATTTGTTATTGGGTGCCTCTTGCAACCCCATTGGCAAATGTGATCAAAAACGTCTTGTAACTCAGTTCAATCCTTGTATTTTTCCCAGGAACTTTTTTAAAAAGTTTTTGATTAAATATATTTTGCTGCAGTTTCTTGGGTATTTGTTGGTCTTTGGACTGACCTTTGTGTTTCTTGTCTTTAGTTACTTTCCTTATGGCTCCAGGTTTCATAAAAGTTTGTGATATTTAATATTATTAAAAATCATTGCTGAATTTTTTAAGTGAAGTAGCATTGCATTAAAACATCATACAAGTTTCAGATGTGCCTTACTGTAAATCAACATCTATTATGTCTTCAGCACTGAAAATCCAATTCTGCCCTTCCCACACAGTTGAGCTTTACTTTTTAACTCCTGCTCTCCATCCTGTTCTTTTTGGGGGTGCCTTCCATGATTCACTTGCTGTTTCATTTCAGTCATTACTTATGGAACCTTAGAACATTTATCTTGTCACAGAACAAGAATATAAAAAAAACTTCGGAAATTAGTAGTATATGAGTTACACAATTAAAACTTTTATAAAAAATGTAATGACCTCAAAGGCAATGTGATATGATAATCTGTGTTTAATGCTTGTTAATTTGTAATATAATTCTTAATAGTTATTAAGTATTCTTTGATAATAAAAATTTATATGGCAATATCATTCTCTTAACTATTACCTGTATTTTTCATGAATCTGTACATATACACACTTCTACACCAAAAATACATAGCTGCCCATGAACATATTATTACAGGAAGTATGTAAATTTCAGAAACATTTTTCCTCTCCTAGCTACATTCATGTGATTAAAAACTCAAATGAATCCAAATGCATGTTTTCACAAATTTAAACTCAACTTTTTCCTGTAGTTGGCACTTGTTGAGACAAGATAACAAAATTTATGCCTTTTTATTTTAGATTTGTTAAGTGAAGATTTATTTTGGCACAGAGCACATTTCCAAAAATAATGGCCTTTTAATTACCATTTTGTAATTATTATATGTATCACCTTTCATACTTCTGAGTAGACATTATAATTAGCATCATAATGTACATGTGATAGAGCTGCTACTAGGCAATCTCGACTTTTCCCGTCTTGGTTTTGCAGGGTGCATGCTTATACAAGTGTCATTCTCATAAAAAGCTTATTAGCTTACCTGTCATATTGCAATATACAAGAGCTGGCCCAAGAGGTCCGCTTCCATCGGCGTCGATATAGTAGAGCCCTGAAGAGTTGGCCCTGTGCTTGTAGGCTTCGCAGGACTGCTCGTAAAGGGCTGTGAAGAACACGGGACTCAGCAGGGGCTTTGTGGGATGGAGGCCCATACTGCTAAACTAGTGCATACTTTACCCAGGAGCGTGTTGCCTGTTTCAAATGGGCAGCGTGTAGATTCTGAAGCACAGAGTACAATTCTTTAAAGAGTTACCACAGAAGGACATGGAGAACTAAATCGTACTTGCTCCTAGAAATGCAAGATTCTCTTAAAACCCAACAGGATTTCTTTAGACTAGTTCCAATTCTGTCCCATAATATCTTGTAACAGAGTGGCCCTCAGGGAAAGGGGAGGTTCCAGGTTCCCTGTCCCACCCTAAGAAAGGATGGAACTGAGCAGAGAGGAGAAGCTGGAAAGGAAAGTTGGGGGAAGGAAGGAAGGAGGTCACGAAGGGGACACAAAACAGAGACATGTGAAGAAAATGGCTTGCTTCTCGACCTTGGACTTGTAGCAGGGACATTGGGCACATGGAAAAGAAGACACTTGAAAGAGATGTGGGTAAGAGACCCGTGGGGAGGCAGCCTTTATCTTGTCTTGGGGTTTTGATTTGCTCTTTGCCTTCCAGACTTGCCTGGCCCACCCTTTCCTGTGGGTTCCTAACAGAAGGTGCCTTAAGGTTTAAGGCAAGCTCTTGGGCCTCAGTAGTCCTGCTTCGGGTCAACCCTGTTTGGTTGGGCATTTATCCAACGAGGCGATGGGCAACTTTGGGTGTTTAATTGGAAGTTATTTTAATTATATTCTTTCTCTTCCTCTTTATTGCATACACTAATTGTATTTAAGTCATTTTTATACTAAAGGTCTTATTCATTAGAGTATGTTTTATTTTAATGCCAGATGGCCAAACCTATTTAGAACAGGCAGGTTTGGGGAGTCCTGGGGTGCCCCTCACCCTGCTTTGTAACATTAACACCTGAAGCACACTGGCTTAACCTCACTAAATGATGTTATTATTTAATAATCACGTTGCTTTTTTAAATTACTCAGTAATTATATCCTTTGTTTACCTATAACCACTTACATGTGAAATGCATTTTTAACAAGATGCATTTTATAAATTGGCAACTTTTCATTCATTTTAAAAAGAAACTTCCTTTATTGCTTTGAAAGTAATTATTCAATACAGTGAAATTCAAAAAGAAATATATGTGAAATCTATAATTTCAATTTATCCTGATTCATAATTGAATTTTTTTACATGTACAATAAAATTTTGCTATTTCAAGACAAGTGATTAACATCTGCAGGTGATGGGCTTAATTAATACTCAGAATAAGTTTAAATGAGCAATTAGGTGAATAACATCTCCTGTGTACATCATTTTATACTAACAACATTTAGAAGTTATGCTTCATCACTAATATTCAGGAGATGGCTAAGTATTTGTATAAAATACCTCGCCGTCTTGGGTGATGCTATAAGTAAGAGATGTCTCTACCTAAACCACTTAGCCTCTGGTTTCCACTATGTCCAGCGCAATATGATTCTGGCACAGTGTTGGGCTGGGTCTATGACATAACAATCAAATTTGGATCCACACAAGACTTGGGTGTTAGTGAGGTAAACTCACAATTCTCTTATGCCCCTCTCATGGCAGCTATTAACTACTTTCCAGAAAAGAAAGGAGCTTAATATTAGTGACTGAAGTCGGGCAAGGGTGAAGATAGAGTGAAGAGAGGATATGAATACCTACCGCTGGGTCTGGATGGATCTAGAATGAACGTCTATATTTTTAAACTTTGTCTAGCTATTTCAAATAGCTAGGAAAACCCCATAAAGGACTAAAGGGATTATATTTCTCATCTCACAAAATATGATTTAAGGAATATTTATTTTCCCAGGAAAACAAACAAAATATTTTTTTTTCTGAATAAAATGTTATGGCAAAACATACTGACCCAAATCAATAGTGTGGCTATCACCACACACTGAGGTACATGCAGAAAACAGGAATTGTTTTCCACCATGTTTGCATTTGGCCTTTCATGTTTACCTTCCTACACATACACAAACATACTCACAAACACCTAGAAAACTGTCCAGAGGGATACACACAAATTGCTAATAGTGGTGAGGTTTAGACTGGGTCTGGAATTGCAGCGGGAGCATAGGTAAAGGAGAAGTGGCTAAGAGGCAATGAGATGTATATACAATGCACTAAGTACTTGAGTACTTAGATCAAAACACACACTTACACCAAAAGATAATGGCCCCATGCCTGCTTGCTACTGATTTGGCAATATCTCACCTTCATTTATTTTGTTTTTTTGGTCAGGGAACCATAATAAAGCCAGTTCCATAGGTAGACCAAATTGTGAAACACAAAGGAAAGATCATTTGTCTATGTATTTATATCTATAACATCTAAATATATGCTAATTTTTAAATCAAAATTATTTGGAATGATGCATAGAGCAGTTACAACATTTAGACAGCATTCTTTTGTCATTAATATTCAGGAGATAAATGAGTATTTGTGTAAGATAACCTTGTTGTGATGGGTGATGCTATAAGTAAACACTTGTCTAACTAAATCATTTAGCCTCTGGTTTCCAAAATTTCCAGTGCCTTTTTTTTTTTCCTTCTTAAATTTTATTTGCTAACTATTTATATATGATAAGCTGTCCTGGGAAATCCTGGCACTGTAATAGTGAATAGAGGTGCAGATGGAATTTTCAAGGAATGAACTCTGATTCTGCCAAGAAGCTCTAAGCTCTTCAGCTGGGGACCCAAGTTCTCATCTCAAAACCCAACACTTGTTTCTCTGGGATTCAGTCCCATATGTTGGACTACAGTCAACCTATGCTCTTTCTTCCATCCTTTATGTGGGAAAAGAATTAAACACTCACAGGGGAGAGCTCTTAAAAGTGCAGTGTAGCCTCCCAGTAAGAGGTATGGGATGTAGTGGGATTTTCATGTCATGCTATTTCCTCACGTCCTATAGTGAGCAGTAGTGAGCAGAGGTGTTATGGGAATTCAGGAATGTCAGTGAATGCACACAAATAGGGAAAAATGAAAAGTAAAGTCAATAATCAGAAAGCCACGAGGATGCCAAGGGCTCTTTCATTATACTTCTAGTAACTAATGATCATTAAAGTTTTGTTAGTTTTTAAGTTGATACAATAATTCTTCAGAAGAGCCTGGTATTCAAGACAGAAGAACTGCGGTAGAGAATCAGTGCAGTGTTGGCTTGGAGCTGCCTGACCTTGGACTTACCTCCTTCCTTTCTCAAGTGTGATTTGTAGGTAATAACACTTACCTCCTAAGGCTGTTTTGAGGATTAAAGGAGATTAAAGGTGCAGAGAACTAGAGTACAAGCACAGGGTAATTCCCAGTATGTGAGCCATCAACCATCATCATCAGGAACATTAGGTTTATAAGGGACCTGAACATTTACCCGCTGCTAACTGGTATCTAGAAATCCTCCATCCTAACTCCCATCCAGTGCGTCTTCTGAAATTCTCTTACTTAATTTTACAAATACTGAGGACTCAATGTCACATCGCTTTTATTTTAGCAGGCAGAACCTGAGATAAAAAATTGGGTCCTACTCGAAGAATAGAATTAAATAAAATATTGCATGCTCTAGATTTTTCTTTTTAACTTTTTACAATATTTTCTTCTACACTGGTGTCCTTTGCCTGTTTTTTTTTTTCTTCTGTACAATTTGATATTATGTATTTCTGTATATTATTTTAACATCACTAGGGAATAAAAGTGGACAAATATAAACCCAAACCAGTCTCTGAAATGTTTGTTATTTGGTGCTGTTGCTTTCTAGACAGTGGCAAAAATAGAAACAAATACATAAAATGAAGACAAGGAAAAACAGAGTTACATGAAAATTAGAACAGAAAGGAGAAAGCAAGGTGTGAGGCTTACAGGAATGGCAGGTTGCACCCGTGTAACCAGTGTGAGTACAGTCACAGGAGAAGGTGTCCCAGGACTGGGAACATTCACCACCATGTTCACAATAACTCGGCAAGCACCTAGAGGGAGACAGACACACTGCTATTGCTCACATCTGGTCATGAAAAGGTACATCTCAGTACAGACATTTTCTGATGAAAGAAAGCAATGACAGTGACTTTCTGAACAAAAATAGTTGAGTCTGTTATCAAAATTTCCCAACTGATTATAGACTAATAAATCCATTAGATGTCATTAATTGCTATATATTTGGAGAAGATACATTGTCTACACATCTCATTATATCAGAACATACATTTGAGTTTTCAAAAATACAGCAAGATTATTTGCATGCATTGTCCAGACTCTAAGTGACTTACAGTGGCCACACATAACATATGTTTCTCTCCTGTATGTGTGTTGTTGAGCGAGATCTGCAGATCCTTGAAGAGCCAGCTGATCTTTGAACGTGTGACCCATCTGAATCCCTGGGACATAGCTCACTGACAGCAGAGTGGACAGTGGACTTTTTCTCTTGTTGGTTCTTAATCCTGTAACCACCACTCTATACAGAAACCTGGGCTTCTTCCCTCGGCCTAGCTGTCTCTGTAGATTCAGCCAGCAGATGGCATACCTAGAGCAGATATAAACCATCCAGCTGCCAGCTGACCTCCAGGAGACTACTAGAGCCATGTAAGAACCACAGAATTGTTTTTAGCCACTAAGTTTTGAGAAAAATAATGCCATCATAACTTAGTAGTTATGGAAAGTTTAAGAGAAGGAAAAACAGGAAAAAAAATCTTTACCCAAATAGCATCACAATTTGGGTCAGATTGATGATGCCTTTAGCCATTAGATTGAGAAATCACTAGCACTGATACTTTAAATAATTTTCTCTGATATTTAAATAAACCATAATATCACTGAGACAAACAAAATAAAAACTTATGTATCATGGAAATTGTGACATCACACTAATTAAAACTGGAGGTGAGATTTTAATGTTTGTGAGATAAAAATATCAGTTAAAAGCATGTTATTGAATTTTCCTGATTTTTTAAAAAAATGTTATCTTGAAAAATATTAGCAAATTGAAATTGTATGTAAAAATTGTGGAATTTATTTCAGGTGTGGAAGGTTATCCAAAGATTTGAAAAACTAAATTTGAAAATTAATATAATCTAGCATATCAATGGACTAAGGAAGAAAAAACATATGGTCATATCAATAGATGGAGAAAAATAATTTGACAAAAATGCAGCACCCTCTCAAAATTTAAAAATTCTCTCAGCAAACTAGGAATAGAGATGAATTTCCTTAATTTGACAACAACAACAAAGAAAACATATTTAATCTGAGAAACTAAACTCAGAAGGAAGCATTTATTCTTACTACTCATGTACAAACATTATTTTAAAAGTCTTATAGTAAGTCTTACTGTAATAAGTTAGACAAGAAAAGTAACCAAAAAGCATATGGCCTTGGAAGGAAGAAATTAAACTGCCTTTGTTTACAGATAACATGATTGTCTATAAAGAAACTTTCAAAGAATCAACAATGGCAAAATTCTGGAATGTATATGTGATTAACCAGAATGGTTATGGGATACTTTTTATAAGTAAGCAATAAATAATTGGAATGTAAGATGAAAAGTTATATTATTTATATTATTATTAGTTGCAAATCTAACAAAATGTGTCTAAGACATAGATGAGGAAAACTACAAAATACTGATGAAAGACATCAAAGAAAATTCAAATAAGTGGAGATGCTCTATGTTCATGGACAAGATAATTCAACATTGTTAAAATGTCAGTTCTCTTAACGAGTTATATATTCAATTCAGACTCTATCATCATTACACAACTAACTTTGTGGATATCAACAAATTGAGTCTAATGTTTAGGTAGAAAGGCAAAATATTCAGAACAGTCAAGAAAATATTGAAGAAGAAACAAGTCAAAAGAGTAAAACTACTCAACTTCGAGACTTATGAAGTTACAGCAACCGTGACCTTGTGCTATTGGTAAAAGAACAGATAAGTGGCATAGAAGAAAGATTCCAGAAAATGAATCACAAAAATACATTCAGCTGACCTTTGCCAAAGGAGCAAAAAATCTGATGGATAAAGAATTGTCTTTTCAATAAATACTACAAGAAAAAGTGGATATATGCATGCTAAAATACAAATAGATACAGACCATGTGTTTTTAATAAAATTATCACAAAACAGATAAAAGACCTAAATGTAAAATGCAAACTGTTAAACTCCCAGATGATAACAAAGGAGAAAATCTAAGTGATCTTGGTTTTGGCAATGACTTTTCAGTGTGATCCATAAAAGAAAAATTAATAATATGGACATTATTAAAATAAAACTCTTTTCTGTGGATGTCAAAAATGTTAAGAGAAAGCCAAGTCAACAGAATAGGACATAATTTTTGCAAATTCAAAATCTGACAAAAGACTGTTATCCAAAATACACAAATAACTCTTAAAACTCAAAAATAAGGCAAAAGATCTAATAGAAGCCTCACTACAAAAGACAGAACGAAGGCAAATAAATATATAAAAACATACCCAGCACCACGTCATTCGAAAACTCAAAACAACAGTAAGATATCACTCCAGATCTATCAGTGTGACAAAATCCCAAATACTGACAACACCAAATGCTGGTGAGAATGTAGAACAACTGTAATTGCTATTTTTTTCTCTGGAGAGAAAGTAAAATAGCACAGCCACTTGAGAGTCTGTTTGGCAGATTCTTAATACAAAACATACTTGGACCAACATATAGTCCAACATTTTTTTTTTTTTGAAAACTATGTCCACATAAAAGTCTGCACATCATGTTTACAACAGCTTTATAACTACTCAACACTTGGCAGCTAGTAAGATGTTCTTTAGTAAGTGAATAGATAAATAAAACTGGTGCATTCTGACAACAGAATAATACCCAGCATTTCAAGACGAGACCTGGAGGAACCTAAGTTCATAGACCTTCTTACTGCTCTGTGACATGCATACCTGTAACCTCTCTGCAATTGTCAGTCTGTCTGTAAAACCAGCACAGCATCTCCAGTCAAGATGATGGGGTGGAGATAGGGTGTGTCTATCCTATATCAGAGGATGGGGTGTGTCTATCCCAGTCAAGATGATGGGGTGGAGATGGGGTGTGTCAAAGCATTGAGTGGTGGTGACCCTCCTAGATCTAGTGTGAGAAATCATTCCCCACTGGAGTCCTGGCCTTAGGCCCACAGAGAGTGAGCCAGGCAGAGGGGGCTGTGAAGATGAAATATGAGTCCAACAGATATGGTAGGGGTTAGAGTTCCCAAGGAGCCCTGGGAAAGGAGTTGGGGAGATAGAGGCTGACAGGTCTGAGTTTTCCTCTGGTTCCTACATTTTTCCTTGAGGAAACACTGACGATGGAGAACCATCCCTCACTGTCCAGACCCTTTGTGATAGGGCCAGACATGATCCTTGAGCAGTATTCCAAAAGTGAAGGCTGACAAGGTTGGGGAAGTAATCACATCTTTATCACAGAAAAGACCAACATCAACTTAAAGTAGAGTGGCTGGATCCTGATCAACATCAACTTAAAGTAGAGTGGCTGGATCCTGATCAGGTCATAGTGCCTATCTAGTTAACTACATAAATTTAAGTTCTAAATATCATCATACAGAAGCTTCCCATAAATATTCAATTATCCTCTTGAACTCAATGACATTTCCTCTCAAGAAAGAATGAGAAACTTCAGGTTACTTCTCCTGCATAGCAATTACAGTTTCTCTGCTACTTGGGAAAGAGGTATTGGAAATAGGTCCCATTTCTTTCAAAAGGACTCACTTAAACTCTCCCTGGCTAGGCCTTAAGCATCAGATTCAGTGCCAAAACAAGAAAGCAGGCTTCTTAGTAAAGCCACAGAGTATTGGGAACAGTGTTATCTCACTATGTGCTCCACAGCACCCACAGGACTAAAGGGGTGGCTTGATTCAGGTCCCTTTTTCAAATATGTGAACAATGTTCAAATAGTTCCTTTATGTCTTTTTGATACTTTGAAACTATATCAGATCACACTGGAGTAGATCTCATACTTTTTAATAGAATGAACATGACCGTTCTGTGATTAAAAACTAAGAATATCCTAGTTCACCTAAGAATATTTGGGAGTAAAATTTTTTAAAAAGATAACTTTTAGTTATGGTAACCAACTTGAATAAAAACCAAGATGTATAGCACAGTTTCACTGTCCACAGAGTTGTGTCCTAAAGGACCAGGAGCCTTCCCTGTAAAGTGCCATGGGGCCCAACACTCTGCCCACGTGCCTCGATTAACCAAGTCCCAGTGGATTTCAAAACATCATTTGAATCAGGACTGTTACTATACGTTATTTATTATTAATTCTCATGCCCAATGGATGAAAGCTATAGAACCACCTGCATTTTAATAATAAATCTCAGCTCCTCCACCTGAGCACACGTAGATTTGCTGTGGGGGAGAAAGACGTGGTCTTGGTAGCCAGGTGCGCTGGGTGGATGGCAGGCGCAAGGCACAGGAGAGGGCCTGGGGGTATTTGCTTAGACACATTTTTAAGTAAGTCTATGTGGTGGTACAATGGACATATGTGAAGATGAATAAACATTTTTATTACTCAAGAGCAGAGGAGAATAAGTACTTATTTGAAGGCTGTAAATCACACACACAAAAATAAAATCAATAACTTTATCAGTCATCCAAAGTAGAGTTATTTTCAAATCCACTTAGAGAGTTGCCATAAAATTCAATTTTTGCTTAAAGACATTAACTTAATATCCTATATGTCTCCATAGATGATTACATACTTCTGAAA